CGGTATTCCCGAGGGATCTGCTTTTATCTCTCGGTTTCAGCTATGCCACCTGGAAAAAATGCTGTTATGTGAATTTTGGGCACATCGCTGAGGGCTGGACGTGCTGCCATGGTATCTCAGCCCACAGCTAAGCCCTCCATATCCGTTATCTCCCCTCCTCTGTCCTCTCCTGTCGTACTCCCATCAACTCGTAATCCTCCCCTACACCTCTGCCACACCTTTCCATGCTCACGGTTTCAGCTATGCCACCTGGAAAAAATGCTGTTATGTGAATTTTGGGCACATCGCTGAGGGCTGGACGTGCTGCCATGGTATCTCAGCCCACAGCTAAGCCCTCCATATCCGTTATCTCCCCTCCTCTGTCCTCTCCTGTCGTACTCCCATCAACTCGTAATCCTCCCCTACACCTCTGCCACACCTTTCCATGCTCACTTTGCTTCAATCCTTTTACCCGTCAAGGAAGTTTTAATTTAATTTCTCACAGGGCTGATCTTACCAGGATTACAGCCGTAAGAATTCCAAGTCACCCGCAACAGCCGGTGTTTCAGTGCCTGTCACACCAGCTGCAACCCAGCTCGGGACAACCCACATGGCTTTGCAGGGGCTCTCCTTGCCCTTAGACCCCCGCAGGAGGAGGCTGCCTGTGCGGGAGGCCCCGGCTGCGAGGCACTGATGAGGTCGTGACAAGGCAGAAACTGCTTCAAATCTCCCTGTAAATCCGACCCACCCCGGCTACACCTGCATTTCAGCCAGCTGCCTGCTCTGTACAGCGACGCTAAGCTTTGTCGTAATGCTCTCCTTTTAACTCTTGTCATAGTGATCAACCTCGCCTGATCTTTGCCTGTGGCCCTACGGCTTTCTGCTTTTTGAAACAAGTTGGTGAAGACAGAAGCGTCCACGCAGCAGCTGCTCCTCAGGGCTCACATGAAGACTTGGACTCAAGTACAGCAGCACTGCAGAGCTGCCCCTCGCCTCCCCAAACCTCAGAAGCCTTGGTGGCAGGGAGGGCAAATGGGGGGACGTGTGCTGGCTGGGAGGAGCAGCTCCTGCTTCACCACCCCTGGGCTAAGAGGAGCTGCCAAACCTGCTGCTCGCAGTGCTCAGGCTCACGCTGGAGCCGGCAATGCTGCCAGCTGTCCCCAGGGTAAGTGCTGTGGTGGGGGAAGACCGGGACTCAGGGACACAACAGTAACGACACAAGGTAACTTAGCAGAGTGACAATTCTTCCAGAAAAGCAGAAACACTCAGAGTCAGTTATAAGAGACCGCATCTGGAGTATGAGACTGCATCTGGAATATTGTGTCCAGTTCTGGGCCCCTCAGTTCAAGAAGGACAGGGAACTGCTGGAGAGAGTCCAGCGTAGGGCTACAAAGATGATCAAGGGAGTGGAGCATCTCCCTTCTGAGGAGCGGCTGAGGGAGCTGGGGCTCTTTAGTTTGCAGAAGAGGAGACTGAGGGGAGACCTCATTCATGGTTATCAATATTTAAAGGGTGAGTGTCACGAGGATGGAGCCAGGCTCTTCTCGGTGACAAACAATGATAGGACAAGGGGTAACGGACACAAACTGGAACACAGGAGGTTCCACTGAAATTGGAGAAGAAACTTCTTCTCAGTGAGGGTGACAGAGCCCTGGCCCAGGCTGCCCAGAGAGGTTGTGGAGTCTCCTTCTCTGCAGACATTCAAAACCCGCCTGGACGCCTTCCTGTGCAACCTCATCTGGGTGTTCCTGCTCCGGCAGGGGGATTGCACTGGATGAGCTTTTGAGGTCTCTTCCAATCCCTGACGTTCTGGGATTCTGTGATAAGGGAAGCAGCTGGGGAAAGGCACCTGCGTCAGGGCAAGCCCTGTGTCACACAACCTTGTAGGACATGAAGGCTCAAGCACACATGTTATTTATTACAAAAACATACATTATTTATAAAATACAGCCTCTCCACACAGGCACGGGAGCTTTAAAACAAAGGCCCAGACCGCGGCCGCCCGCCAGCCGCTCCCCCACAAGATGGCGGCGGCGGGGGGGACCACCCCCCTCCCCCCC